TTTTTATTGATTATGCTGTTACAGTTGTTCTATTCCCCCTTTCATTCCCCTCCACCCTACCCCCCCATCCCCACCATTACCCCCTTTAGTTTATGACCATGTGTCTCAAGTCCTTTAGATTCTATATTTCCCATGCTATTCTTGTCCCTCCTTCTATTTTCTATCTACTGTCTATGTTTTAGGTTTTTAATTTAAAAAAATTTAAATTAGAGTAGAATAATAAAAATTACTTGGAACTAACTACAGACTTAGAGAGGTTTAATAGAGGAAAAGAAAGAACTGGAAGAACTAAATCCTGTGGAGTAGCTACCAGATCAAGAGATATAAAGAGAAAGCCCCACACGGAATTCTACTTTCAGATGCTAACAACAATGGAAACATTAATTACACATTTCTTTAATTGCTCTTGCTCTTTGAGCTGCAATAAAAATGGTCAAGACTCTGAGAATTAGAGTGAATTATAGTGATTGAGCATTTGGGGCTTTTTAATATCAAAGGATATTTTCTACAACTGGTCAAGTATTTCAAAGCTTTAGGGTAACCCCAAACACTCTAAAGGTCTCCATAAAGAGCATTAGGAAGTCCTATTTGACAGCTAAAACTAATGAAATATCCCTTCAAATTCTCCCTTATCCAAGAATACCTTTTCCAGGATAAAGAGAAACACATATAATATTAAATATGTGGTTCAAAAATAAAGAAAATGCAATGAAACTAGTTCCTCATGCATCAAAAATAATATAATAGGTAATTTTATTTACATTATGTAGAAAATTTATAAGGGGTCATTGAGCCACTTATGTTAGGTGCAAAAAATTAAAGAAATTATTAGATACTGACATAAAGATATTATATAACAAATCAAGAGAGAAGGTCATGCTAAATAAATACAATAAACTAGACATAAAAGAAAGTTCACAAATGTTTCAAATTATAGGACTATTTAGACTTTTATGTAAATTCAATATAACCAAGCCAGAATTAATGTAATAAAATAAAACAATAAAATAAATGAGAGTCAAATGAAATTAACCAGAGTGAAGGCAAATATATTAAAACTATGAACAACAAAGAAAAGAGTGAGAAGCTGTTGCCAAAATTTTTAACATGGACAAAAGCTACCAATGACTTATAGTGAAAAACATACTGATTAATAAAAGAAGTACTGAGATAATAATGGCTACTACAAATAGAACTTATTTCTGGAAGACTGATTCACTTAAAATATACAACAAATATTAAAGAAAATTTATACATTCAAATTATCCTTGCATAAATGTTTTCCAAAAATTAAATAGAACTAATAATAATATTCAAATTGTATTCAAAGTAAAATTAATATTTAGTCATTCATTTATGAATGTATTCATTCAGTAAATAATTATGGAGTTTCTTCTTTATGATCCTTGAATAAAATGCAGAAGACATTTATGGATTCTGGTCTAATCGGGCTTACATTATAGTATAGTGCGCTTCTGAAAACCAAGTAGTCAAGAAATAATTAAAATAACTATAAATTTTGGTAACTGTAAGTAAGAAATCATATGCAGCTGAGATAATGAATGGAGTGATTACAGAGGGCTTTAGAGAATATTGAAAGTAATAAAAAATATAAAGATGGTCCGAAGATTGAAGGAGGATTATTTCTAGGAAAGGACCCAAAGGTATAATGGCCTTTAAGCAGGAAAGGCATTTTTTTTTAGCATTTCAACCTTTATAAACCACCATTATTTAACATTTATTTCTGTATAAATATACAGCAAGGTTGAGCCAATTCTTTACAAACAGTTCTGTTTATAGGTCCTTAGCAGGGTGCTATCAAGTTGTTCTCCAACCTGGTTGTGACTGTTTATCTTCCCTTCAGCAGCCTCCTGGAGTTCTCTTTCCCTCATAATCAGATGAGTGTCTCATTGATGTTGTAGTTTTCATTTTCCACCTTTGAGGATTAAAACCATTAAGGTTATTCACTCTGAGTTCAGGAGTGAATGATTAGAATCATATTTTCAAATGAACCAGGAGAGTAATCTGCAGGTGCATACACAAGACCTTGAGTAAAAGAGTAAAAAAAATTTTTATATCAACTCTAAATGCCAAAAATATATACAATAACAACATTTGTGTTCAGAAGTTAAGTTTTAATTCTTTATAATCCTGTCATGTTTTGTTAATAGACATAGGTAATGAACTTTTTTGGCTTCATAATATGCTAAGATAGGTATTTCAGCAAGTTTTTGTCAACAGTTGACCAATTGAATTACAATCCATATCCTTTGAATGTTTGTATATCTGTCTCAGGAACTACTGCAAGTGAGGAAAGTGAAGGCAGCTTTGCCAGGTTTTAAAAGCAGGTGCTTAGACCTATTCCAAAAGATTCCATATCCAAAACTGGTAACCAGAAGACAGACCTACTGAACTGAGAGCCATGTCAGAAAAAGAAAAAAGGTAATATAACTTCATGGTGGCCTGTCAAGTACTGAAAAATACAGTGAGCATCCACTGAATGATTCTGGATGGAGTCTGGGAAATCTAAGACCAAAGCACCAGCAGATTCAGTGTCTGCGAAGGACCCACTTCCTGGTGCATATACAGACATCTTTTTGTTGTGTCCTCAAACATTTAAAGAGGAAGGATTTGACTTATCAAAAGTATATGCAGATTAACATGGAGAAATTTGGGTGACAAAAGGTTGGAATGATTGACTAGGTAAACAGTTAAGTCTCTGTAAATAGAATGTTCTTTTCTTACTCTCAACTGAAAATCATCCCATGTTTTAAGAAGCACTGTAGGGGGGTGGGCTGGGATGGGAGTAAAAGAAGGAAAACTGTACTTGAACAACAATTAAAACAAATTTTTAAAAAAGCAAGTGACATAATTCTTCTGTTTTTTTAAGGATATCATTTTTTGGGGGGTGATATGTTTAGTAAATGAGAAGAGAATAGTTAGGTAACATTTGCATAGTTCATATGACAGTGATGCTTCACTTTGATGATGTTAGAGTTCATTCAGAGAAGTTAATAACTTTGTCATATTTTGGGCACAAAATAGCCAAGGATATTGAAGAATCTGAAGTGAGTGATGAAGAAAAATGAGGACAATATGTATGTTTTCAGCCTGAGCATCTGGTGTCTACAGTGCTCAAATCCCATTTTACTCAGATAAGGAAACTTGAAGCAGAGGGCAGTTTTGAGGTAAGGAGACTCAATAATTTATTTTGAAACACGTAAGTGAAGATTTAAAATATACATTTTGCCATCATCAGGAGACCTAGCAACCACATAGTCAGCTGAATATACCAGTCTCTGCTTGGTTAATAATTTTGGAATAAAAATAAAAAATTAAGAACAATTAGCATAAAAATGCTACTAAAATCCAAGGTTTAGTGTAAGAATAATGAGGGCTAGAAAATCCAGAGAGAAAAGGAAGTAGACTAGTTTGAAAGTCATACCCAGCAAGAGTAAAACATAATAAAGCAACCAATCAGATAACAAAAAGCCTTGAAGAAGTAACAATTCAAAATCCAAGAAAACAGAGTGCCTCAAAGAGAAAATAGTTGGGGGCTAAATGCTGAGACATTTACTTAGATAAAACCAAAACAATGTCCTATAGAAACTTTTACTAGGACATGCTGTTGTAGGATAGCCATAAGAATAGACCATGAAACAAACCTCATTGTAATGAAAAAACAGGTTCAGCTTCTTGCTGCTACAAAAGCCAGAGTGTGAGGCAAATGCTAAGACCTGGGAGAATAGTGCACTGCCTCTCAGAGACAGTTACTCCTTCAAGTTCAAGCTGACAGTTCTTATGCATAGAGAGGATATGGCTTTTTTTCTATCCAATTATCTTGCCAGCTCTTTGTGTGCTTGAAGCCCTGTCCATTCACCATTCTAGCTTTTGGGTACTCAGTATAAAAACATCCCCTGTACCATCTTGGCCAAGGAGGTGATGCCCCAGTTTTACCTATCTACATTAACATTAGGACATTGTGGGTAGAGAAACATGGTAGGAAATATAAATGGCATAATTTCCTCATCTTTTAAAGGACAGTAATAGATTAGGGTACAAATAGTCTAGATTTGAAAGCTTAATTATTAAAATGTATGACATTAACTCCCAACACATCTAAATATAATGACATATGCAAGAACAAATGAGAGTGAATGAGAATTCAGGAAGTATAAGATGGCAGAAAGAATGCAAGTTTTTAATTAATTCACCTTCTTTATCAGTTAAACACCAGTGACCAATAATTTAGTAGTGTAACACAGTGCTGTGGCATCAGCCATCTTGGCTCAGATGTGAGCTCTACTACTTATTGAGAATGTAAATTTGGTAAAGGGATGAAACTTCTACATGCTTTATTTTTTTCACCTACAAAACAAAGGTAAAGTAGTGTCTGTCACACACGGTTGTAGTACAAACAAAAGGAATTAATTGACTCAAAGCACATAGAAAAATGCCACCATATGATAAATGTTTGTTACTTTTAAACCACCTAATACTGATGAACCAACTTCATTATGTCATATAAAAGTACCAGTAACAGTGACCCGACCACAGTCAGTAGGAGAAATAGTCACACGCACCAACACAGAGACACAAACATGCACACACAGCAAAATAAAATGTAGAGATTATCAATCACAGGAAGGAGAAAATAAAAGTGTTCAAAGTGGTATAATAAAAATGAAAGTATACAAAAATCTTTGTCTTTCAATTATATAAAAAACAAGTAGGATTGTGTGTCTTTGTCTTATTCAAAGGCACATCTAAAGTAGTGGGTGAACTATGAAAACCTTGACAAACAGGAGCATTATATAATAATAAATTCAATCTAAATGAGTCATCAGAAGTCATAAAAATTTGGGCAGTAAATATAATAATGTTAAATACATAAGGCATAATCTAATTATAGAAGCAGCTTTTTGATTTGGTGGATATTTCTTTTCCTAAACTGTACTTGAAAAATAACTAAATAAAATTATTGAGAAAAAAAAGAGAAAAAAAACATGGAATGCTTCATGAATTTGCATGTCATCCTTGCTCAGAGTTCACACTAATTTTTTCTGTATCATTCCAATTGTAATATATGTGCTGCCAAAGCAAGCACAGTTGGTGATTTCTTTATTGCCCAAAAAGCAGCTCTAAAGTTTAATTTTTTCAGGTAAAAGAAATCAATACATATCTTTTAGGAATACCTTATCAATAATTTTTATACAATCTTATTTTTTCTAATTCAGTATATAGAATTGAATTTTGACAGAAAAAATAATAAATACTAGCATTTTTAAGGAACAAATTGTTTTAATCTATGAATGAGTTAAAATTTATTAAAATATTAAAATAAAAGTAGTAAAGTGAAATGTAGGTGTTAAGATATATATATATAGAGAGAGAGAGAAGTTAAACAAAACAGTAGAATTGTTTGATATCTTCAAGAGCTTATTTATTATACAACAATAAAGAAATATTGGCTTTAACTGACACATGAAACCAAATGGACATAATTGACATTTACGGAGTATTTTATTCCAGAATGTCAGATTATATTTTCTTCTCCAGTGCATATAGAATATTATCTAGAATTACTGAGTTACAAAACTAGCCTCAACAAATTCGAGAAGATTGAAAAGATATCAGTTATGTTCTCTGGTCACAATGCTTTGAAATTAGGAATCGTAAAGGACAAAAAACTGTACTTGAACAACAATAAAATAAAATACAACAAATAAAATAAAATAAATAAAAAATCAATTGTAAAAAGGAAGTAAACTCACAGATATGTGGTGATTAAACAACATACTACTAAAACATAACTGAGTCAAAGAAGAAACAAAAGGTGAGGTCACAAGATATACAGAGATGAATGAGAACGACAATGTGGCATAAGACTACTTCTGAGATATAGTGAAAGAAGTAATAAGCAGGAAGATTATATCATTACAGGCCTGTCTCAAGAAATGAGAAATACCAATCAGAAAACCTAATGTTACATCTTAAAGGAGTAGAAAAAGAAGAACAAAAGCAACCCAAAGTCAGCAGAACAAAAGAAATAATAAAATTGGACTTCTGGCCAAGATGGAGGCATAGGTAGATCCACTGTACCTCCTTGCACAATAAAAAGAAAGACAATAACAAATTCAAAAACAAAAAACAACCAGAACTGCCAGAAACTCAAACTGTATGAAAGTCCAACATCCAAAGAGTTAAAGAAACATTCATCCAGACTGATAGGAGGGATGGAAATGGTTAGCTAGGGTGGAGAGGATGCACCTCAAGGTGGCAGCTGGTGGAGCAGGCAAGTCTTAGGCTAGCAGACCAGGTTGTCCCACATTTGAGTGCAGATAAACAGGGAGGAACAAGTGGAGAGCAAGACAGACTGCACAACCCAGAAAAATAAAGCCTCAAAACCTCTGACTGAAAAAAACTGTGAGGGTTGCAGAGGTAGGAGAAACTCCCAGCCTCACAGGAGAGTTTGTTGGAGAGACCTACAGGGTCCTAGAATGTACACAAGCCCACCCACCTGGTAAACAGCACCAGAAGGGCTCGATTTGCTTGTGGGTAGCAGAGAAAATGACAAAAAGCTGGGGCAGAAGCAAGCAAGCAGCACTGTTTCCTCTCAGACCCCTCCCCTACGTATAGTGCCACAATGCAGTGATGTAGTTGCCCCATCCTGGCAAATATCTAAGGCTCCACCTCTTACTATTTATTGGGTGTTCAGAGATTTAAAAATGGCCTAAATGTAAAACAGATCAAAGCTCTAGAAAAAATGCAATTAAATGATGAAGAGATAGCCAACCTATCAGATGCACAGTTCAAAACACTGGTAATCAGGATGCTCGCAGAAATAGTTGAGTATGGTTGCAAAATAGAGGAAAAAGTGAAGGCTATACAAACTGAAATAAAGGAAAATATACAAGGAACCAACGGTGGCGGGAAGAAAACTGGGACTCAAATCAATGGTTTGGTCCAGAAAAAAGAAATAAACAATCAACCTGAACTGAATGAAGAAACAAGAATTCAAAAAAATGAGGAGAGGCTTAGAAACCTCCAGAACAACTTTAAACATCCCAACATCTGAATCATATGGGTACCAGAAGGAAAAGAGGAAGAGCAAGAAATTGAAAATCTATTTGAAAAAACAATGAAAGAGAACTTCTCTAATCTGTTAAAATAGACTTCTAAGAAGTCCAGGGGGCTCAGAGAGTCCCCCAAAAATTGGACCCAAAGAGGAACACACCAAGGCACATCATAATTACATTACCCAAGATAAAAGATAAGGAGAGAATCTTAAAAACAGCAAGAAAAGAGGAAAGAGCTACCTATAAAGCAGTTCCCCTAAGAATGTCAGCTGATTTCTCAAAATGAACCTTACAGGCAAGAAGGGGCTGGAAAGAAGTATTCAAAGTCATGAAAAGCAAGGACTTACATCCAAGATTACTCTATCCAGCAAACCTATCATTTAGAATGGAAGGGCAGATAAAGTAATTCCAAGATAATGTAAAGTTAAAGGAGAGCATCATTACCAAGGCCTTATTCTATGAAATGTTAAAGGGACTTATCTAAGAAAAAGAAGATAAAAAATATGAACAGTAAAATGACAACAAACTCACAGCTATCAAAAACTAAACCTAAGAAAACAAAAACAAACTAAACAAACAATTAGAACAGGAACATAATCACAGAAATGGTGATCACATGGAGGTTATTAGCAGGAAGGGGAAGGGGGCAATGGGGAAAAGGTACAGGGAATAAGTAGCATAAATGGTAGGTACAAAATAGACAGGGGAAAGATTAAGAATAGTATAGGAAATCTAGAATCCAAAGAACTTATATGTATGACCCATGGACATGAATGTACATATACTAATGGGGTCAGTTACAGGTGGAAGGGGGGCACAGAGTGAAGGGGAGTAAAGGGGATAAAAATGGGATAATTGTAATACCATAATCAATAAAATATATTTAAAAAACATAACAGAGTTTTTAATACTACTTTCTTGAGAGCTGATAAAATAAATCACCAAAAATATATAGAATAACAAAAATTCAAAGAAAAACTTGATACATGATATATATTATATGTGAGAATATAAATATATATTAAATGTTACACATAACATTTGTGAAAAATGCACTTTATGTGCCATGAAGTAATCACAATTGACTTTAAAATAATACCTAATTTCACAAGATTAAAAATTAAACAATATGCTTCCAAATAATTTATGAGTCAAAAAGACATCATGACAGAATGTAGAAAATACTTTTGTCTGAATTGTGAAAGACATGCAACAAATCACATCCTAGGGGAAGTGAATAAAGAGGTGCTTAGAAAGAAATGCATTACCTTAAATAGCTATTTTAGACATGAAGAAAGGCAAGGAATCAGTAATATAATATTTGATCTCAAAAAGTGGAAAACAATAGTCTCACTTAAGATAGAGATGAAAGTCAATAATGACAACACTGAAATAGAAAATAATGTACAATAGAGTAAATCAACAAGAAATCAATAAAAAAAGATTAACCCTCAGTAAGTTTGTTCAACACAATAAGGGAAAAAAATGAATCTGTCAATGTCAAGAATTAAAAACTCTTAACTACAGATCCTCAGTACAATTGGAAGAGTATAAAAATTATGAAATATCATCTAGTAATAAAGTTGACAATATGAACAGAACAATTTCTTTAATTATAAAATTTATCATTTTGTCACAAAAAGATCTAGAATATATAAATAATCCTTTACCTATTAAGTGAATCTATTTTTGTGTGTGTGTGCATTGTCTTTATTTATATATATATTTTTTATTAATTATGCCATTACAGTTGTTCTATTTCCCCCCTCCGTTCCCCTCCACCCTGCACACTCCTCCCCCACCATTCCCCCCTTTAGTTCATGACCACGTGTCTCAAGTTCTTTAGATTCTATATTTCCCATACTATTCTTGCCCTCTCCCCTATCTATATTCTACCTATCATCTATGCTACTTATTTTCTGTACCTTCTCCCCCCTTCTCCTTCTCCCACTCCTGGAGGGGTAAGTGAATCTATTTTTAAAAATTCCATCATTAAAAATTGGAAGTCCAGATTAGCTCATGGATGGTTTTTTCTCATAAATTTAAGAAATATATAAAACTACACTAACACAAATTCTTATAAAAATTTTTAATGTACTTATTTTAGGAGGTCAGCTTAAAATTAATACCAAAATCTGATGAGGATGTGAAAGAAATATGACACTAATCTCTTGCATAAACAAAGCTACAAAAATACTAAATAAAAGTAGCAAACTGAATTCATCTGTATGTAAAAAGAAAAAAATGTGGTTTAGTCTAGAAATGCAAGAGTGGTTTAATTAACTGTATTAACAAAGAGAAAATCATATCATTATCTTGATAGTTGCAGAAAGTACTTGTAACTTCCATATTATTTCATGATAAAACTGTTAGCAAATTAGGGATAGAAGGCAACTTCTTTGCTCTGATCAAGAGTATCTATAAAAGTCCTTAATCAGACATTATGTACAGTGGAGAATTGCTGAAAGTCCTCCCCCCCCCCGCCCAGGACATGAGTGACTCAACTGTACCCACTATCACATAACAATATATAACATTGTAATGGAACTGCAAATCAGCACAATAATTCTAGAAAAGGAAATGTTAAAAAAATTCAAAAGGATAAAAAGTTGTATGATACTGTCACTATTCACAGATGATATAATCATGTACTTGAATATATATTTACCAAGAAATAAGAATCTTTGCAGCTGACTTATCCATAATAGTATAACAAACCAAGTGTCTATATACACATAATGGGATGTCATACAAGCAATGAGAATTTTTAACACTATATTCACAGAAACATAAAAAAATGGAGATATAATGTTTTGCAAAAGAAGCTAGATACAATAGCAATATGTTGCCTCATTTACATAAAAGTGAAAGTAGATTTATTCTTTGACAATAAATTGTGACAGTGATGACCCTTACCCATGCACAGTGTTTGGAAAGGGGCAAAGTGGCCTGGTAGAGTGCTTGTGCTGTTCTCTTTCCTATTTTGTGTCCTGAGTATGAACAGGTTCACTTTATGCAGATTCAGTAG